CTCGCTTTTCTGCGACAACCAGTCCGCGATACGAATCGCGAACAAGAATGGCTTCGCCAACAGAACCAAGCATATCGCACTGCGATACTTCTTCGTGAAAGACGAAATTGAGAAGGGAAAACTCCAGCTGGACTACTGCCCGACCACCGAGATGGCAGCAGATTATCTCACCAAGAAGCTACCAAAGGGGAAATTCGAGTACTGCATGCTGCTCACCGGATTGGGCCACGTCACCGAAGCTGACCACGTCGACACTCCAGAAACGAAGGGGAGTGTTGGGAATATAAACGCATGACTTAGTGCGTTTCTGTAGTATCGAACCTCACCCGATACTGAAGCACAACAAAAGGAGTATGAAGTCGAAAAGGCGCGTACCACATCAAACCGCAACTGGAAGTTGCGAGCCGTAACCGCCTGGAGGTTACGCAACAGCAGGCGACGCTTCAGTAAGCAGTAACCGCCTCGATAGTCGAAGCGTTACGCGTCTCGATAAACATAACCGCTTCCTGTAATCTATCTTTTCTATATATTCCTGTATGCTCTTTGCTTTAATCAACTACTTGTTCTCACATACCAGCACAAGTACATTCACTCAAGTCTTCCGCTGTGCTACTCTAGCACCTACTAGCCTATTCTCTGCAAATATCCTAAGGCTGAAATCCTCAGCCCAACAAAAATCTGCATTTGTTGTACATCAAAACATTTGCAAGCAAAAAATAGGATTGTATTGATAGTGGAATTCGCTTGATAGGTTCGGGTTTTAAAGTCCCTCTATTAGAGCAGAAAAAATGGCTATCTTAACTGAAAGGAATTTACGTTCATACGGCATGATACCTCATGACAGGTGAAATCTTATGGGAAATTTACCTCATGGGGCAAACCCATAGAGGTGGGAGAGGGGCACAGGGAATATTAGTGCTACTGAAGCATGGTGTTTCGGTATCCATGGTGTACACGATTCACAAACGGGGATCAACTCACCCTGACCCGCTGCTGACAATTCCTCTTCCCGCCACACCTTGCCTCGAGATTGTCGGTGTAAAAGAAACGTGTATCATTCAGTCAGCTGAATTTCCAGATCGCCATTTAGAGACTTCCATGGCAACTTGCTAAGCCTAGATGTCGGGAACTGCAGAAAATAGTTACATTTCACGAATTCCTGTGATCGACCACCTGGCTTGAAGGGCATATCGTGTGTACTGAACTCGTATAGCTGAATCTGTCCCGATGGTGGTCTGCAAATGTCGTAAGGTGTGCCGCATGCGACTGCTCAATCAAATTTTTCAATCTTGTTGTGCGTAATCAGATCATCACAGAAGTCCTTCACCCGTGTCGTTGACTGTTTCGCTGCTTCAAAGAGTCCCATACCCCGAAATCCGCTCCGAAATTATTTAATTTCCGTCGCAGGCCACCAAACTATACTGCTTCGTGCACAAGACGCCGGTGTGCTTCGACTGCATATGCGCTCCCGATCACCAGCACTGCGTGGTACGTCCTGTCGACACCTGTCGCTTGTTGTCGTGCTTCCGGAGGTCCGTTGCTCTCTTGTGTGTCATCTGCAGCCGTTCGCTTGGACCATCGGGGAAGAGGTTCCTGGATCCTCGTGGCCATGACGATTGGAGTGGAAAACTATAGCATACCACCGTCCTTTTGTTGAATGTAGAACGTTTCTCGAAGCAACAAAGCATACGGATCTCGTATCCATGTTTCCCTCCCTCCCTCCCTCCTCCCTCCCTCTCCTCCGTCCCGTCCCCGCGACGGTTGGAGCCCAGGTATGGCAGTACTCGGACTGGGTGAACGACGGCGACTACGACTGGCCGCCGCACTGCGCCGTGTGCAGCGAGTCCCTCGAGGATACCGACAAGCCCACCATCCGCCTCTCCTGCCTCCGTACGCGCGCTCTACCCCCACCCTACCTGCCTCACCTTCCCGTCCGACCTTTTATGTTCTCCTCTAGTTGCCGACCCGCCTGCCGTTGCTCCTTGCCTGCACCGCTGTCAAGTATGACATTCGCCATGTCACCTGCTGCTCGCCTGACAATCTCCGTGTCATGTGGTGGGTGCAGACGTGCCGCATGCGGAGTGTGTGAAGAGGCACGTGGAGTCCTTTCCGCCCAACACCGCCCCAGCAGGCTTCACATGCGCCTCCCCAGGCTGTGGCCTTGAGGTGTGTCGCATCCCTTGCTGAGCCATGAGGCTTGATTGAGCCACAGCGACATGTGCTTGGTGATCAGCAGAGGCGATCGGCTCTATTGGTAGGATTACTACGATGCCTGCCTAAGCTTGAATTGTTTTTTATTTTTTTCTCTCGCACTGGTGTGTGCGTGTGTGTCCCCGTACATGCAGATATGGCCAGCCAGGTCGCACAAGGACTCTGCCTCTGCTCTCTACACGCACCTCAGAGCGCTCCTGGCTCAGGTGGGTCTGTTGGAATAGCTCCTGGCTCAGGTGGGTGTGGTGGAATAGCTCCTGGCTCAGGTGGGTCTGGTGGAATAGCTCCTGGCTCAGGTGGGTCTGGTGGAATAGCTCCTGGCTCAGGTGGGTCTGGTGGAATAGCTCCTGGCTCAGGTGGGTCTGTTGGAACAGCTCCTGCGTCGGGTGGGTCCTGGCTCAGGTGGGTCCTCGCTCAGGTGGATCTGTTAGAACTGCTGCTGGGTTTCCCGTCTACATTTCAACCAGCCATATCCCAATTATCCCCATCCAACCAGACATATCCCTCAACACCCCCTCCCACACCATCCCGCGCAGACATCTGTTGCAGACGTCATCCTGAGCACGCCAGTCACGTCCGACCCAGCAGCCGCATCCGCCCAAGCCACAGCACTATCAGACAAAACCGTGCCGCCCGCATTCGCCTCCGGCCCTCTTGCAGTGGTGGGGCGGGCGGCAGACTCCGCGAGTGCAGGGGCGGAGGGGGAGGGTCGGGGGGAGGCGGGCGGGGCAGTGGAGGAGAGGAACGGCGGGGAGGGGGAGGGCAGTGGGGCGGGGTCGTCAGGAGTAGCAGCAGCGGCTGTGGCGGCTGCAGCGGCGGCGGCGGCGGCGGCTGCGGCTTCAGCTGGGGCCAAACGCCAAGTGAGTGGATCAACCCCATCACCCCCATCACATCACATCACCCCCATCACCCCCAGCACCCCCATCACCCCCATCACATCACATCACCCCCATCAACCCCATCACATAACATCACCCCCATCACATAACATCACCCCCATCACATCACATCACCCCCATCACATCACATCACCGCCATCACCCCCAGTATGTGGGATTCCCTGTGCGTGTGCCAGTGGTTGGATGCGGTTTGCATGGGTGCACCAGTGCCACCACCACTCGCCTCACCCTGTCCCCTTCAGCTAGTGTCTCCTCCTTAAGTGAAGGTGATCGGTGCTCACTCCTCTCCCAACACCTTCCTGTTGTGCCACGCAACCCCCAGCCACAGCAGCAGGGCGGGGTGAACATTGCGCGCAGTCGAACGGGCGGGTCGGATCGCACGGCGGTGGACATCACAGAGGAGATCGAGACGGCTTACCGCACCGATGAGGAGGCGGGCGAACGCAAATACGCCAGACGAGGTGCGAAGGCAGAGGGAGGGGGAGAGGAGGGACGGGAGGAGAGGAGAGAGTGTTTGTGTGCATGCATGAGAGGGATGACTCACTGCACTGGTAAATACAAGCACACCAGACGAGGTGACAGAAACGGGGAGGGGGAGGGGGGGTGAGGTGGGGGAAGAGGAGTGTGTGCATGCATGCAAGGGTGGCGTTCGTACCTGCTCTTGACGAGGTGGGCGAGAGCAAGTGCGCCAGACGAGGTGAAAGAAGGGTGGGGAGATGAGTTGGGCGCCTCTCCTCTCACCCCTGTGGGGCGTCACCCCTGTCCTCCCTCCCCCCCTCCCCCCTCCCCCCTCCCCCCTCCCCCTTTCTCACCTCCTCAGGTCCGGCGCATCTGCAGTTCCTGCGGGTGCTGGGGTCGTGGTGGTCACCAGCACTGCATGCGCTGCCAGTGACGCTCACAGCCACGCACTCGCACCGCAGGGACAAGGACGAGCATGCACCCGTGGGGGCGCACGAGGACGGCAGGCGGAGAGCGGGGCAGCGGCGCAGCGGCGGTGTGGACCCGCGGAAGCTGCTGCTCATTGTGGCCATTGTGTAAGCAGCTTGCATGCCATCCCATGACTTGCCCTGCCATGGCGATTTGTGAGTCGACTCAAGTATCATCTTGGGGCAGAGGCGCAGGTGGGGGTGTGGACCCGCGGAAGCTGCTGCTCCTTTTTGGGCATTCTGTAAGCATCTCGCATGCCCTGCCATGCCATGCTGTGCTGTGCCATGTGTGCCATGCCATGCCATGCCGTGCCATGCCCTTCAATGCCATGCCATGCCATGCCATGCCTTGCTGCTGTGGCTGTGGTGTGACGAGGGGTGCGCGGTTCTCTGTGCCATGTTGGGTGCCCACTGCCCACACATTGTCTTTACACGCACCACTGCTTACATCCTTCCTCCTCTTTCCTCCCTCCTTCCACCTCTCCGCCTCCTGCTTCCTCCACCTGCATTCATGGTGCGTTTGGCTGCACATGCAACCCTCACACACCTTCCCCGGTGTTGATCACATGTTGCACTCCTTGCATGTGCAGTTCATGCATGGCAACAATGCTGCTGCTTTATTATCGCCTTGCTCAGGGAGCCATGTCCGAAGGCGCATCTACACTTCCATAGTCGTTAGCACGTATGCTACATGTATCAACACACACTCAGCGGTATGCATAGAGTCGCGCCCTGACGGCTTGTACAAGTTTCATGCAGATGTGGAAGGTTGCTCTCAATAGTATGCCTACATGTAGCATGATTCTATAGTATTGTACCGGTATGGATGGATGGATTAATTTGAGGACAAACATGAGCCTCAGCACCTTATTTCTAGAATATTGCACCGTAGCACCGAGCCTGTACCCCGTCTTACAATAAGATTAAGCTTTTTTTTTTCGTCGGTGTTTAACAGACTGTGTACCTATTCGTCCACAGGAATGTCAAGTTGCAACCGCAGTTGCTTCCCTATGACCTGCAAGGCACACAACCAGTGCACATGGACACCAGGATGGTAACAGAAGAATGGGGAGGAGAGAGAGAATGGAAGAAGATGAGTGGGTTGGTCACGGGACATAAGAGAGACTGGCAGTTGCGTGGCCAAGACCAGGCATGCAGCCAGGCAGCCAGGCAGACATTATGGTACATGGCACGGTGGTATGGCATGGCATGGCATGGCACAGGGCTTGGTGGTACATGGCACGGTTTGGTATGGCATGGCATGGTATGGTATGGCGGGGTACAGGGCATGGCAGGTGACCTTGTAGACGTCAGTGAAGGAGAGCAGTGAGTCGCTGCTGAACCCCGCCTGCTGCATCGCCTGCACCACCACCTCCTGTGCGGTCATATGCGGTGATGGGTGGTGATTGGGGGGTTGATGGCAGGTGATGGGTAATAAAGGGTGAGCAGAAGCGGCACATTTCTCGGTACTGTGTTTTAATGTGTTTTGTGTGGTGCGTGACATGTGGTGCGTGACATGTGGTGAGTGGTGTGTGTTGCGTGCACCATCTGCGATTCTAAGCCCCACCTATCCCATACCACAACGCCTACACCTCTTGTTGCTAGTCAGAAAGGAACCCACTGACAGGTCCCTAATCATGGCGAGGAGGTCCCCTTTAGATATCCCACTCGAAGCCCCGCCTCTCCCACTCGAAGCCCCGCCTCTCCCACTCGAAGCCCCGCCTCTCCCACAACCCACCTCTCCCACAACCCACCTCTCCCACAACCCACCTCTCCCACAACCCACCTCTCCCACAACCCGCCTCTCCCACAACCCACCTCTCCCACAACCCGCCTCTCCCACAACCCGCCTCTCCCACAACCCGCCTCTCCCACAACCCGCCTCTCCCACAACCCACCTCTCCCACAACCCACCTCTCCCACAACCCACCTCTCCCACAACCCGCCTCTCCCACAACCCGCCTCTCCCACAACCCGCCTCTCCCACAACCCGCCTCTCCCACAACCCACCTCTCCCACAACCCACCTCTCCCACAACCCACCTCTCCCACAACCCACCTCTCCCACAACCCACTTCTCCCACAACCCACCTGTCGTTGCTCCTCTGAGAGAAAGCTCCCGGACAGGTCCCGCAGCATGGCGAGCACATCGCCCTTGGATATCTTGCCGTCGCCATCCACGTCGTACACGGCAAACACCACTGGGGGGAGGGGAGAGGGGGAAGGGAAGGTGCGAGGAGGGGAAGTGTTGCCGTGTGGATGAGGACGTCCCCCTAGGATATCTTGCCGTCGCCATCCACGTCGTACACGGCAAACACCACTGGGGGGAGGGGAGAGGGGGAAGGGAAGGTGCGAGAAGGGGAAGTGTTGCCGTGTGGATGAGGACGTCCCCCTAGGATATCTTGCCGTCGCCATCCACGTCGTACACGGCAAACACCACTGGGGGGAGGGGAGAGGGGGAAGGGAAGGTGCGAGAAGGGGAAGTGTTGCCGTGTGGATGAGGACGTCCCCCTTGGATATCTTGCCGTCGCCATCCACGTCGTACACGGCGAACGTCACTGGGGAGGGGGGTGTGGGGGAGGGAGAGGGGGGAAAAGGGGCGAAGGGGCAACGTGCGGTGTGGTGGGTGAGGCGGCACAGTGACAGTGCCATCCATGTTGTACACCTGGGCGAACATGGCGAACACCACTGGGGGGAGGAGCGGTGGGGAATGGAGACATGACGGCATGCCATGGCACAGGTGGAATCAACAGTATTCCCCCATAGCACACCCCATTGAATTCACCCCATCCCATCCCATCCCATCCCACCCCATCCCATCCCATCCCATCCCATCCCATCCCATCCCATCCCATCCCATCCCATCCCATCCCATCCCATCCCATCCCACCCCATCACCAGCCTCACAGCGGGTGCGGTCCTCAGCAGTGGCGCGGGAGCTGAAGGCAGCGAGCCACTTGACAAAGTCTTTGAAGTTCACTCCCTCTAGCATGCCCAGTAGCCGCTGGGCAAGTGAAGGAGCAGGGGGGAAAGGGTGCGGAGGGAGGAGGGTGAGATAACTTCTGAGTTGATCCAAACGCCTGCCAAGTCCTTGAAGCTCACGCGCTCTAGAATGCCCAACAGCCGCTGGGGTATTGGGGGAATGGGAAGGCGAGGGGGGTGGAAGCAGGGGTGGGGGTGAGAGTTCCGCATCAAAGCAGGAGCCAACTCACTGAGTCCTTGAAGGTCACTCCCTCCCATTCGCCCAGCACCCGGGTTTGAAACGAGGGGCGAGAAGGGGACGGAAACGGCGGGGAGAGGGGGGAGGGGGAGGATGGAACAAACGGGGGAGAAACGAGGGGGAAGGGGGCAAGTAGTGAAGGTTCAGCGCGCAACACACTTGACTGGGGTTGATCGGCGTTTGACTCACATGCGCGAGGGGGTTGATGGCGAATTCGGGGATGGAGAGGAACTCGTCCCCGCTCACGTACCCCTTGCCGTTGCGGTCCAAAGCACAGAACCGCCGGTACAGCGCCGCTATCTCCTCCTGCGAGACTGGGGGGCGCGAGGAGGGGGGGGGGGAGGGAGAGTGGGGGTGGGGGAGTGTAAGGGGAGGCGGTGAGAGGGATGACAGAACTCCCGGTACAGCACCGCTATCTCCTCCTGCGAGACTGGGGGGGAACGGGGATGAGGGATTGGGGAGCGGGGGGGAGGGGGGGGGGTTGGAAGGGGGAACCCACGTGAGAGAGGAAGGGGTGGCAGTGGTGAGAGGGAAGGCAGTACAGCGCCGCTATCTCATCCCGTGAGACTGGGGGGAGCGGGGGGAAACGGAGGAACACGGGGGGAGCAATGGGGGAAAGAGGAGGGGGAGAAGGGGAATTGGGGGTGAATGGTGCAGAGTGGGCGAGAGGGGCGGGAGGTAGTGGAAAGGGAAGGGGAGAGGGCAGAAGGGAGGGAACGCGGAAAGCAGGCGGAATTGCGAGAGGGAGATAATTAGTCACGTGCGGTGGGCGAGAGGGGCGGGAGGGGCTTATTCCGCACGTGGAGTGGATTTACTCGCTGTGCACGTCCTCCCTTGTGCTTCCATGCTCAAATCCCTCATCGTAATTACACCACTCGTTATACTCACATCGGCCGCCCACGTGCTGTTGAACGTCCTCGATGTCATACTGCGTCAGCAGCGAGTGCTCGTTCCCCATCACAGCTCGGCGCGCTGCTCTCTGCGTCGCGCCCCCCCTGACCTCCCTAACTCTCGCGCCCGATACAAAACACGGACACGAAACGCAGGATGTGGAATTCGCAGTCACGAATGCGAGGAAAAATATGCAGATAGAAGTATCAGTGCTGTCGAAGTTGCTATCGGGACTGTGACGTAGTCAAGGCAACATCGGAGATAGATTGCACAAGAGGCAATAGCCAACAGTCACTAAGGAATTGTCACTTCGGACATTTCTTATCGAGCTGGGTGTGGGAAATGGAGTTAGCTAGAGACCTTTATCGGAGTTCCCGAAATTCTCATGATCTTCGCTAAGGAATTGTGGTAATCATGTACCAGTTCCACTAAAATGATCATCAATCCACATATTAGGAGAACTGGATACAAATCAGAATGTTTGAGGTGTATGGCTCTAAACAAGGTCAAACAAAAACGGGTTTAATACCACCAGCTGTGCTTCTTGTCGTGTTCTTCGAGAAATTCACACGGCATCCGCCCAATGTCTGCCTCTCAAGAGCACCGACACTCCCCACAGAATCATGTCGTGTAGCACACGATTTCGGTTTTCCCTTGTCGCGTCATCAGCCCCTCGAAATGAACCACGTCAGCTCAGCCCTGCGCCTCGGCCTCCTCCCCCAGCAAAGGAAACCAGGGTGACAGGGTCCATGCGACTCTGGTCTTCAATTTGATTCGACGAAGCCCCCCAACTACCCTGGGATTCGCGGAACAAGTGCGCGTGTGTGCGGCCAGAGGCGGGGATGGATTGTCTAGTGCCGAGGTTGAGCATCCAGCTGTTTTGTGTGACGAACTGGCACAGCAAGATACAACAACAGGTAAGGAAGGAGAGCCCTACGATCTGTTATGATTCGATAATAGGCCATCCGCCCTTTCAATTCAGTGCCTCACTCGCGGCCTTCTTTCCCCACACGCGCCCTTCTTCCCCCCGACGTACGTCTCTCCTGCTTCCCTTCCACCGCCATACCCACCCACCCACCAACTACACGGAAAATTCCCCCACGATGGCATTGATGCAACCAGCCCATCTTCCACACAATTCTTTCTCGCCGTGTAGTGTACTTGCTGACGGGCAACACAGAGCAGCAGCTTTTGGACTGCCTCGACCAAGCCCTTGACGATGCTGCAGTACATCGTGAGTTCAGTCGCTGTTTCGCCTAGGCGTAGAGGCCGCCATCTTTCCACTCTCTGTCGCTTCCCAGTCCGCCATTTTGTGAGCCGTGAATCAACCCAGCAGAGACCCTATCAGCCTAGAAACGCCATTCCGTCAATCATCAACAAGAACGAAGAAGTTGATCCCGTGGGCAGAATGACCGTTCTCAGGCTGATAGGGTCCATAAGGGCCACTTAAGCCACGGCGTGAAGCCTCTAATAAACGGATTCCTATACACGGTGTGCTGGGTACCGTGTTGAGTCAGTGCGCTCCGCAGCATCCCGATTCGCTCCTCCGAACGCCCTTCCGCGTCCGAGAAGGCGCGGACGAATGGACCTCGAGAATGACGGCGCCGCGGGCACAGCCGCCGTGTGGGCGACCGTCTCCCTGCCGCAAATCCCTCTCGTCGACGGATTCAGCTTTCACCAAGCGCCGCTTCCGTGCGAAGCGGCTGGGTCCGCGGAAAATAACGAATGGGGCAGCCGGTTCATGGGAGAATGGGCGGACGGAAAGTGCAGCGAGGAGCAGTGGAGGTTGGAGAACAAGGGTGATAATTGGGGCGCTATGGGGGAGGAGAGAATGGTCGTGGAAGGCGCTGCGGAGGCTCCGCCAACTCCGCTGATCCAAGCCATTGCGCGCAAGAACATATCCGCTTCCGCCAAAGTCTCCCCCAACAATGGCGCCTCCGTTGCCACACGCTTAACGAACGGATGGGATCCGCTGCATCTGAACCTGCAGCCTCGGGAGAATGTTCAGGAATATCTTCAGGAAAAAACACAGTGGCAAGTCGGCCAAGGCAACGACGGCTCCTGCCTCACTACTTCCCCCTCCGCCGCCACATCCGCCGGCGGCGGCTGCGCTAGCCGCCGAAGCCTCGGGGGAGTAACCCCATCCGCAGCAACCAGCGCTTACGCCGCTGGCGTATCTTTTGGGGCCGCTATCCCCCTTCTGACTCTTCCGCCATCCGCTTCCTTCACGGGCCCGCCGCCTAGCGCTGCTGCCTCGCACGGCACGGGCAATCAAACCACGGAATGTGGCGGCCACGTGCCAGCAGCGTGGTTCACTCCCACTGCCACGTCAGCCACCAACGTGTCCCCTGCATCGCTGATGTCAGCTCTGGGGTCGCTCCAGGGCAAGATCGCCGCGCTGCAGCTGCTGATTCCGCTGGTGGCGCAGAGCAGCCCCGCCCCCGCCGTGCGCGAGCAGCAGGAGGCGGCGGCGGTGGGCGTCGCGGCGGTGATTCAGCAGGTGGCGCTCGCCGCCGTGGGGCTGCTTCCGCCGCGCTTGCAGGCGCAGCTTCTGCTTCCCGATATCGCGGGGGTGGTGCGCGCGGAGCAGATTCGCGCGAAGCAGGAGCAATCGGCGCAGCAGTACGCGGAGATGGGGAATGCTGATCAGTCCGCGGAGAAGCGGGACGAGGCGGAGGCGCAGGGGCAAGCGGAGGCGGAAGGGGTCCAGCAGCCGCACATGCAAGAGGCGATGATGATGGCTCTGGCGCAAGCGCTGCAGCTCCAGGAGCAGCAGCAGCAACAGCAGCAGCAAGAGCCGCAGCAGCAGCAGCACGAGCAGCAGCAACCAGCGCTGCCCACTGCTCCCTCGCCTCCGCCGCCTGCTGTCGCGATGTCGCTCCCCCTGTTTTCACCCGTCGCCGCTCCCCCTTCAGCCGCGCCTGCGCCTGCTGACCCTCTTGCGGGGCCTACTGCGGCCCCTCTCCTTCCCCACCCTCCCCCTCCCCTCGCTTCCCCCGTTTCCGCCGCAGCATCCGGAGCTGGCGCCAGCACAGGGGAAGACGACGCTGAGGTGGGAGAGGAGGGAGGAGAAAAGGCGGGAGAGCAGGGCAATACGGAAAGGAGCAAGAGGGGAAGGGAACATGATGGTGAAATGGAGGCAGCAATGGGAGAGCGACCGCTGAAGCAAGCTAAGCTGGAGGAAGGCCAAGCAGCAGCACCAGCCACAGCGATTGAACCAGCATCTGGCACAGCATCAGAGGCAGCGCCAGGAGCGGCATCAGGCGGAGAGTCCATGAAAGACTGCTATGAAGGCTCAAAGGCAGCAGCATCAGGCTCAGCAGATACAGCAATTGTCACAGCCACTGCCACTGTGAGCTACACCGCCACTGCCACAGCCAGCGACAGCGACGAGGAGGCAGCGGCAGCAAGCAGCGGCGGCGGGGCTGGGTGGGGAGCGGAAGGCGTGCGCGTGGGGGAGTGGATGATAGTGGAGCTGCGGGTGGCAGAACTCTCCAACGACCAGATGCACTTCTGTGACGCCTGCGGCAAGGGCTTTAAGCGCGAGGCCAACCTGCGCATGCACATCAAGGCACACGGCCGCATGAACCCCATGCACCCAGCAGCGTCTCCTCCCCCACTCTCCTCCTTCCCTTCGTCGACCCCAGTGGATCCAGCACAGTGCCGCTTCAGCTGCCCGGTAGCGGGGTGCAAGCGGCACCGGGAGCATGCGGCCTTCCAGCCGCTCAAGACGGTGCTGTGTGTGCGCAACCACTACCGCCGCTCGCACTGCCCCAAGCTGCTCGCGTGCTCGCGCTGTGGCGGCGCCAAGCGCTTTGCGGTGCTGGCGGATCTGCGCACGCATGAGAAGCACTGCGGCCTCACCAGCTGGACCTGCTCCTGCGGGTCGCGTTTCAGGTGAGCGCTTTGAAGCCTCCTCACTGGGCAGATGCGTGTTAACCCGCACCTTCATGTTATGGATTGTTGGCCTCTGTTTGCTCCAACTGGCCTCGGTTGTGTCCTCTGGCTTCCTTACATTACTCCCCCTTCCGTTGAGTGATCCTGTCTTCCTTTCTTTCCCTCGCCTTTCCCTGTGGTTACCCTTAAAACTCCTCCCCATGCAGCCGCAAGGACAAGCTGATGGCGCACCTGGTCACCTTCATCGGCCACTCTGCCGTCTCGCCGGGGAACAACCGTGCGTGACTGACTTGCCGCATTGCCACGCACATGACATACATGCAAATGTGGCAGCGAGCGCTACAGTGGCAGTGCACGTCTGGTGGAGTTGCAAGCAAGATGTCTGCTTGCGCTCACGAAGACAGAGGAAAGGGTGTGCCAGTTGTGCCCAAGCACACCATCTGCTGCTTGGATGTTTTTTGCTTTCCATTTCTTGCTTTTAGGTTTGTCTTTGTTTGGTGCAGGCAGGCTGTGCGTGGACCTTCCATCCTCCGCCTCTTCGCTTGTTTCCAGCAAACTGGCCCATTTTCGAGCCTCTTTGCTGGTAACAAGGCTACAGAATACTCTCTGTGGACGGAATTTGGAGGAGGATTGCAGGTCCTCGACACCAGCTGCTACGTATTCTTGTTTATGTATTGTATCGTATTGTTGCTTAATTTGGCGTTTTTTCGTGTCCTATTTAGCACTGCCCAAGTACAGTCCATTTGTCATTTGTGGTTTGCTCAGCATTGAACTATGAAGGAGAGAAGACTTTTATTGCACAAAGTCTAGTGTGGTTCGTTCAACTACTACAGTTCTCTACTTTGGCGACGAGTACCGCAAATCAACGGGCCTCGAGGGTTGAGTAGAGTCCTCGGTCATCACACGCAACGGTCGTAGAAAATCGCAGTTCGCAAGATGTCGCAAGGACATCGCATCAGACATGCCATCGCGAATCGCGAACCGCATGAGCTGTGGCCTGGTCAGATCGGCTGCAGAACAACTGGTGCAAAGGGATTTTCTTTGGTGACGCACGGTGACATGTGCTTATGAATGTTTCTGTGATGTCAGAGGTTATCGCGTCGCCCAGTCTCCGCGCCCTCGCCTGAATTGTCAGAACTTGCCGTCCCTCCTACGTACAAAACACCTCCCTTCGACTCTCATCTCTCCTCGTGCGGGCAACACTTCTGAAATGCTGTGCTCCAACGACGCGCAACCGTTCCGTGACGCAAAGCTGCATTTTGCATTTTCCATATCGTCCGTGTGACTTCAACTAAAATTTCCTAGTCCTAGCATGTATCGGACGGCCAATTATGGTCCGCGCTGCTCCAAGCGCTGCTGGGATGCTAATGTCGAGCCAGAACTCGTGCCACGCGGAGGCGCGAAGCGGTTGCTCTGGTGGCTGACGCTGGTAGTCGTCGCTGCTTCTCTATTTGCTTTAGTATTCTTCTCGGGTACGTAGTAACGCCTTCCTCTTCTCCGTCCTTCTCTCGCCGCCGCCTTCCCCGTAAATCACTGTCGTTTCATTCCGTTTCACAATGGAAGACTGCTTTGGGATCTCATTTTCCGCTCCTTTGCGCTGACAGAACATAAGACAAAAAATTCCTATCACTTGCGTTACTTCATCGAGTGTTATTACCTCTTTAACACATACCTTTCCCCCATTCAACCTTCCGCGCACCACGCTTCGTCTCTCCACCCACCCACCCTGTGTCCGTCCTGTCCTCCCCGCGCCACGCCCCCTGTTCGCACTCACCAGCCGCGCCAGGCCCGCCGCTGGCCTGCGAGGACCATCCGCCGCGCGACGTCGCCCAACCCGCGTGTGAGTACGCGGCGGTGATGCATTCCCAAGCCAGACCCGCATGCAACCGCCTTGCTCCCATCTGTGACGCGCTCGCGAAAACGCTATTTTTGAGCACGAATATCGGAGAACGAATCTCGGAACACAAACCTCCATTGGTTTGCTTCCTTGATCCCTCCCCGCTGTTGTTTACCCTCATCCCTCTCCGCTGTTGCTTCCCCCCATTCCTCCCCACTGTTGCTTCCCCCCTTCCTTCCCGCTGTTGCTTCCCCCCATTCCTTCCCTCTGTTGCTTCCCCCCATTCCTTCCCGCTGTTGCTTCCCCCCATTCCTTCACTCTTTTGCTTCCCCCCATTCCTTCCCGCTGTTGCTTCCCCCATTCCTTTCCTCTGTTGCTTCCCCCCATTCCTCCCCTCTGTTGCTTCCCCCCACTCCTTCCCGCTGTTGCTTCCCCCCATTCCTTCCCGCTGTTGCTTCCCCCCATTCCTTCACTCTTTTGCTTCCCCCCATTCCTTCCCGCTGTTGCTTCCCCCATTCCTTTCCTCTGTTGCTTCCCCCCATTCCTCCCCTCTGTTGCTTCCCCCCACTCCTTCCTGCTGTTGCTTCCCCCCATTCCTCTCCGCTGTTGCTTCCCCTGAACGCTCTCCGCTGTTGCTATCCCTAATATCTCTACGTGTTTTACCTTCCCCTTTTCACTTCGCTGCTGCTTCCAAAGCAGAAGGTTGTTGTCCCGAAAATATCCCAGGAGTCCTCCTTCCCTTCCCCTCAAGGCGTCCTCACCATCCCAATCGTCACCCCCCCGTCTTCTCCACTTGCCGCCCACTTCAGGGGTAGATTCAGTGGTCGATACTCCCGCCTACGCGCTTGACGCACTCCCGCATAGCCATGTCCCCCTCCGCCGCAGAGGATTGGGCTACGGCGGAAGCACCCATGCCGCCCGTTGGCGCATATGGGGCTGCCATGCGGGGGAACTGCCGGGAGAAAATGCGCAATTAATAAGGACGAGGCTGTATTTCGATACAGTGGTGGTACAGAAGCGGAGGGGTGGAGATGGGGGGAGCTGGGTTGGAGGAAGCGGAGGGATGGAGAAGGGTGGGGGAGAGCGGGGGGTGCTGGTGGATGGGGTGGTGGTGGAGGGGAAAAGAAGAGTAGGTGATGCAGCAGCAATTGCGATTGAAACAGCCGCAGCAGTAGAAACCACAACGTCAAGAGCATTAGGAACGGCAGAAACAGTAGCAGAAGAATCAGCAGAGCATCAGAGCCACGCAAGCCATCCACCACAGCCCCTCAACCCCCCCACTCAACCACAACCTGCTTCCCAAACCCAGGATGGCACGGATGGCACGGGTGGGGTGGATATATTTTTTCAGGGCGAGTTCGGGTACGAGTTAATCGCCGTCCTCCCATTCGCCTACTGGCACCATCTCCGCGGCTCCCTCCGCTACACCACCTCCTGCGGGCGGCATTCCTTGGCCTCACTCTATTACTTCAGCCCGAACCACACAGATGACGCCACGTGTCGTCGAAGTGCCATGAAGAACAATGTCGCTGCATATGGTTTTAGCCAAGGCATACATTACAGTCGCATTCCGCCAGCCTGGCAGCCGCCGCCTCTTGCCCACCATTTCAGAAAATTTCCCCCTGTGTGGCCGGAGATTCCCAAGGGATCCCGGTTGGTGGTCATTGGGAATAAATATGAGCGAGAGTGGGGCCGTTCTCCGGTGAATTTCATCGATTTACCAACTCTAATGGGAATCGTCACCGCGTATTTAGACGCTGGTTTTTATGTGGTGTACAACAACCCGGGGATGTCACTGCAGCCGCCCAGGCAGGCAAGTCGAGACAGAAAGGACTTGGGAGACTACGAGGCGCTGCAGGAGCGGGTTGGAAATAATCCACGGTTGCAGATCATGCAGGACCTTCAGAAGAGATGGCCAGAATTGAGTTTCAATGAAGTGCAATTCAGACTGCTGGCGCGGAGCGCGTGTTTTGTGAGTGTACGGGGAGAAGGCAGCATAGTGGAGAGCTACTTTGGTGGCCAGAATATCATCTACTTTCGTGAAGGGCAAGAGGTGAAAGGCAAGGCGTATGAGAGGATTTACCCCCAACTGGCTGGAGCTATGGTGACAGTGGTGACCAGCTATATGGGCCTGGAGAGGGAGGTGGATGGGATGATACAGAAAAACAATTGCTACGCAAAATTAGATAATGGCCTCTGACTGATGGCATGGATGGGAGTACCGTATAGGTCTCTGGCTGAAGAATACTTTGGCGTGCATCTCACCAACTGCTAATAGTGGCTTAGAAATGTATTGCATCACTTCATGATTGTGCAACATGTATGCTGCTTTTTATAACCCAAACCAAAATTAACAAAGTAATGAAAGAGGGATGAATTCGAGATAAATCTAGGGGCGAATATGTTTTGAGTGACGTGTTCCTGCTGGAGAACTGCCTGCAAATCAACAGGCCGCAAAGGTCGTCGTCAGTGATCGTAGTCGTCGTAAGACGTCGCAGGATTCACGAGTCTATGACAAGGTGACGGGTAGGTGGCGAATCGCATCACCCGCACGGTCCGAGTTCACGTCGTTCAAACATCAGGAATTGCTGTGCTGTCAACAACCAAGCCTCAAGGGGCTCGACGAACCGCTGCTTCAGGCCGAACAACTATGCTGCGATGCCAATAAGTACAGTACAGTTCGAGCATTACACAATTTCAGCCCTTGTGGTTTTTTTGAAGGGTAATGAAATACAGTTTATCGTCGCGCGATTGCATAGCAGTTGGCAAGGTTGACAGGATTGTACAAGACTATAAAATTTGGAAGTACATTAACTCTGCCCGCCACATTCACTCCCGTTTACAGCCAGAGCCTGATGAGGGGGCTGTATCAACGAGCAGGAGCCAATGGTTAAGGTTCGGCCAAGGCACCGAACCTGCTGCCCCCAACTAAGAAGAAAACCACCAATCGCATATGGAATCCGCCCAACCTAGCCCCTTCGCAACTGGACGCCGCATGTCCGCCGCCGTCTTTCAACGCGACTCGACTGAATGAATCCGTCACTTCACTCCCCTCGCTGGGCCCTCGCCTCAATCGGCACGGCCCTTGGTCTTGCTCCATTTTTACATTTCCCATATCTCAGAAATAGCCCTCCCTCGTTTGCACAACCGGGCTTTTCCTCCCCACTCACGCAGACAGAAGTTCTGGAAGCGCTGGACTCAACCACACTACAACACGGATCTCCCTATTAGCGTTCCCCATAGTCATTATAGTTCACGACATACTTTTTTCCTATAATGGATCGGACGGCTAGTCATAGTCCGCGACATTCCAAGCACTCCTGGGACGCTGCTGTCGAGCACGGATTGCAAGCAAACGGCGCGCGAAGCGCTACGGAATGTAACCATACGGGCATCGCTTGTTACAAGAACGGCATCTCGTACTCCGACGAAGAAGATGCGTGCTCGCGTGGCCTCGGGAATGCCGATTGCTGCGATCGCGCGATTCTACCACCCACGGGAAAACCGTCTTGGTTGACCGTGCTAGCCTCGAAGAGTTTTATCCGCGGAGGCGCGAAGAGAATTCTATGGTGGCTGGTTCTGGCCTTCATTGCGGCGTCATTAACTGCTAATATTTTCTTCTCGGGTAACAAGAGCACGTCGGGCTTTCCCACTTTCGCTCCATTTTCCCACTCCGCTTCCTCAGCCGTAACTTTCGGTCTCTCGCTCGGAGCTTATTCAACCACGCCACCTACTTCCTTCCGTACCGTAGAGATACGTCAGCACCACTTACATCACTGTTGGAAACTCTCAAGAATGTCACACGCATCGTGCGCATCACTTGGAATACACAGTGTCAAACATTTAGATATCGTCATCACCCGTCCCTTTTCCTCTGCCCATTCGCCTCGTTCCCCTCATCCCTCTCCCATTCCCCCCTTCCTCCCCTGTCCTTTCCCCACCACGCCCCTTGTGCGCACGCACCCGCGCGCCAGGCTCGCCGCTTGACTGCATGGTCGATCCGCCGCTCGACGCCGCCTACCCCTCCGGTGAGTGTGCGCTGATGCGTTTTGCCTTCGCCCTCCTGGCTTGGCGCGATTTCATTTCCAGGCCCTGCCCCGTGGCTTGTACAAGCGTCCTGGATTTCCATATAGCTGCTCGTGCGCAGATTTCTGGAGTGCAGAATATGGGGCAATAGCTCATTAAATGACGATAAATCTTGAAGCACAAGTCACGGTGCACGAATCTCATCCGTTTCTGCTTTTCCCGATCGCTGTCCGTTACTTCTTCATCCTTCTCACGGCTTCCCCTGAACTACTCCCCACGATTTTCAATCGTCGTCCGCGCCTCTTCCCCACACTGCTTTCAGGAAAAGAGTCCGTGGAGTATTCTTCCGCCAATGCCCCCCGCACGGTACCGTTGCGCCAGTTCCTCCTCCGACGCACTGCTTGCGGGAACGGCGGAAACGCCGCCGTTGCGCCGTGGCGCATCTGGGGCTGTTACATGGGGGAACGGCGGGGAGACACAGCGCGAATAGGTGCGGAGCTGGGTATGGATCGCGTGGTGGTACGGACCACGGCGACAGCGGGGAAACTGGTCGGTGGAAGCGAAGAGGTGGAGGGGGAGGGAGCAGAGCGGATGGGGTTGGGGGATGGGGTAGCGGCGGGGGGAAAAGGGAGACTAAATAATGCTGCTTCTAGCGAGAGCGGGGAGAATGGAGGAGGAGAGACGGAGCGACGTGTGAGCCACACGAGCATGGAGGACGGAAGCGGGGATGCGAATGAAGGGGAGTCAGCTGAAAAACAGGTGATTGATGAAGGGACAGCAGCTACCACATCAGCAGACGGAGAAGCAGTTGAAGAAACAGACGCAGATAAAGAAGCAGCAGCAACGCCAGAAGCAGCCGCAGCAGACGGAAGTACAAATGCAAAAGCAGTTGAGACAGCACGAGAAAGATCTGAGCCGCTCACGGAAACTAACGCCATCCATCCACCACAGCCCCTCATCCCCCCCAGTCAACTAGAGCTGGCACAGCCCTCTTCCCAATCCCAAGGTGGCGTTGACATTTTTTTTCAGGGCGAGTTCGGGTACGAGTTAATCGCCGTCCTCCCATTCGCCTACTGGCACCATCTCAACGGCTCCCTCCGCTCCACCACCTCCTGCGGGCGGCATTCCTTGGCCTCGATCTACTACTTCAGCCCCAACCACACAGACGACGCCACGTGTCATCGCAGTGACATGAAGGACAATGTCGCTGCATACGGGTTTCCTCATGGCATTCATTATAGTCGCATCCCTCCAGCCTGGCAGCCGCCTCCTCTTGCCCACTACTTCAGGAAGCATCCCCCTGTGTGGCCGGAGATTCCCAAGGGATCCCGGTTGGTGGTGATCGGGAATAAATACGAGCGGGAGTGGGGCCATTCTCCGGTAAATTTCATCGATATACCGACTCTATTGGGAATCGTTGAGTCATACTTAGAGGCGGGATTTTATGTGGTGTACAACAACCCAGGGATGTCACTGGAGTCAGACCACCGGCAGGTTATTAAGGACGGCACAGAACTGGGGGACTATGAGGCGCTACAGGAGCGGTTTGGGGAGAATACACGGCTTCAGATCATGCAAAATCTTCAAAAAAGGTGGCCAGACTTGGGGTTCAACGACGTGCAGTTCAGGATGCTAGCAAGGAGCGTGTGCTTCGTGAGTGTGCAGGGAGGGGGCAGCATCGTGGAGAGCTATTTTGGTGGAAATAATATCATCTACTTCCGTGAGGGGCAGGAGGTGAAGGGCGGGGCGTATGAGAGGATTTACCCGCAGCTGTCTGGAGCCAAGGTAAAAGTGGTAACCAGTTATGAGGGGCTGGTGAAGAAGGTGGATGGGATGATCAAGAAGAACAAGTGCCACGCTAAACTTCACTAGCATGTGCCCTCTTGTGGGACCTGAAGGAAGGGACCTCTTCTGCAGGATTTCAGCAGTAACTTGCGGAGAAAACTGGGTCACAGGATGAATACGCAAGGCTGGGTATTGGATGCCGACTACTACCAAACCCCTAATTGCAATCGTAAACTACATCGTGATGAATGAAGTTAGTGCATGTGTAATTTAGCAATGAGTAATCTAGGCGAATAAATGAGCAATGTTTAGTGTTTTCATTGAAATCACCAAAACCAATTAACAGAAGTGGGGAACGCATGTAAAGGTTTGATACAACAATCAAGTTTGGTGTTAGAACCTTTTTAGAGCACTCGAGGAAGCTAAATGTGGAGACAACTGCGACTTACACGTGGTTTGGCGGTCAGTGTGACTGCTTTGGCTGTTTGTAGAAGGGCTAGTCTTGTAGTGTAGCTGACAATATCGACACCCGTTCCCGACCAGTAGACAACAGAACCTGGGGGAGGAAGCTCGGAATGCTCCAGGCTGGTGAGAATTTTTCCAGGCCTAAAAAAGAGCTATTCCTGGGCTGTACTGGTCTGTACAGTTCATAGCATTTATTTGTAGGTCAGGTCACCACCACCGCCTCCCCTCACCGCTTTTGCCTGCACTCGACAAGCAGGTCGACGATGGGTCAACGAGAATTGGCTTCTTCGCCATTTGAGGGAAGCACAAGCAGGCCGTTCGCAGCGACTTCCACATGTCGCTCGAACGCAAATCTGAACGAAGCAGCATTTCGCGCCATTTTGCTCTGTCCGCTCCACGCAGATCCGCTCCGCTCGCTGGTTCAAGTTGTTGCGGCAGGGAGTCTGCCCCCCCCTCCCCTCCATTGATCCTCGTCTTTCCACAATCGTCACCTTGCTTGGCGCCTGAGCACAAACAGAATACTGCTCCGTACGTCTCGGTACTTACAAATACATCATGACGATGTTCGGGCAGCAGCACATCAACTTGCGCGGCAGCTTTGAGCCTGCCTGTGATTCGTCCAACTGACAGAAACCTACGTCAGTTTCTGGTATTCTCCGTTTCCGTCGCGTCGAGAGCGCTCCCACTCATCGCTGCTCCATCCCTCTTTCGCTTCACGTGAAGTCTCGAGATGGTTGTGTGTAGGCTGTTGTCGGAGATCTTTAGTGCGGGATCGGAGCGAAGCATCTCGATCGCTGCATTTCGCGCCATTTTGCTCTGTCCGCTCCACGCAGATCCGCTCCGCTCGCTGGTGCAATTTGTTGCGGCAGGGAGTCTGCCCCCTCCCCTCCATTGATTCTCCTCGTCTTTCCAACTGCACCTCGCCCGGCGCCTGAGTACAAATACATCACGACGATGTTCGGGCGGCAGCACATCAACTTGCGCGGCAGCTTTCAGCCTGGCTGTGATTCGTCGAACTTACAGAAACCTACATCAGTTTTTGGTATTCTCCGTTTCCGTCGCGTCGAGAGCGCTCCCACTCATCGCTGCTCCATCCCTCTTTCGCTTCACGTGAAGTCTCGAGATGGTTGTGTGTAGGCTGTTGTCGGAGATCTTTAGTGCGGGATCGGCATTCCCCGCTCCCCAGCCTCCGTCCTCGCTGAACCGCTACCGTCGTCTTTCCGCTAGCCCTTCTGATGGCTCCCCGGCGCCATCATGATTGTCACAAGCAGCAAATAAAGCTCGATTCAGAAAAGGCGCGCTTCGGAGCGGAGACCGACGAGGGTGCCGAGGGAAGAGACATGTTTTGGCGGCTGGCGGGGCTAGCAGCGTCGAATAGCCGCGGCTTCGACCGCGCAGCCGCGAAGCGATTGCTTTGGTGGCTTATGCTGGCCATCATCGCTGCTTTAACTGCAAGAATCCTATTACTGCATCGCGAAAAAGGCAAGTGCAGGTTTTGGAGGCCCGAAGGTTTTTCTACAAAAACACACAAAAAGTCCCAGGCAGCTCCCAGAAATCCACAAGCCCAAAGTCACAATTACGTCACTTTCGGGACTTTCCGTTTGTGTTTCACATTTGGTGGTGATCATATTGGGTATGCTTTGATTAATCGTTGAAAAACTATCCGATGTCACATGATATTGTCCGCATTGGTTTTTTTGTTTTTTTTGTTTTTTTCCGCTTTTGGAGACGGATTCGGGACAAATTGAATGTATAGATCGTCGTCTGTCCCTTACTTCCGCCCATGTCAACCCTGTCCTTACCCCTTCCCCCTCCCTCATTCCCCTCCACCGTCCCTACATCCGCACCTGTCCTCCCCACCCCAGCGCTTAAAGCAGCCGCACAGGAAGCCGCACTGGAAGCCGCAGCTGCAAAAGTAGAAGCAGCATCAGGAGAAGCAGCGGAGCAGTACAGGCGCACCGTCCACCAAGGCGACCAGGAAGTCCAGGAAGGTCAGCATAGCCATGGTGTTCAGGATGGGGTGGACATCTCGTATACAGTGGAATTCGGTTACGAGCTACTCACCGTCCTCCCACTGGCCTACTGGCACCATTTGAACGGCTCACTCCGCTCCACCACCTCCTGTGGGCGTGATTCCTTGTCTCTGCTCTACTACTTCAGCCCCAACCACACAGACAATGCCACGTGTCATCGAGCCGGCAAGGATTTCAAGGATGCGATGCATGGCTTTTATGGAGGTAGATTCCCGCCAGCCTGGCAGGCACCACCTCTTGCCAACCACTTCAGGAAGCTTCCTTCCGTGTGGCCAGAGATTTCTATGGGATCCCAGCTGGTGGTTATCGGGAATAAATACGAGCGGGAATACAAACACGCACCGGTAAATTTTATCGATTTACCAACTCTACTGACAATCGTCGACTCGTTTTTTAAGGCTGGTTTTTATGTGGTGTACAACAACCCGGGAATGTCGCTGCAGTTTGACGACTGGCAGGTGACCCGTGATGAAAAGGACTTGGGAGATTATGAGGCGCTGCAGCAGCGGTTTGGGGAGAATCCACGGTTCCAGATCATGCAGAACCTCCAGAAGCGGTGGCCAGGATTGAGTTTCAATGATGTGCAGTTCAGGATGCTGGCAAGGAGTGCGTGTTTCGTGAGTGTGCAGGGAGGGGGCTGCACACTCCAGAGCTACTTTGGCGGCAGCCATATCGTCTATTTTCGTGAGGGGCATGAGTTTGAAATCGGGGCTTACGAACGGATTTACCCTCGTCTGTCTGGAGTGAAGATGAAGGTGGTAACCAGCTATCAGGGGCTAGAGAGGAAGGTGCACGAGATGATCAAGAGCAACAACTGCTTTGCACAACTGCAATAGCCATGTCATCCCTTGCAGGACCAGGAGAAAGTGTCATTCACAAAGGATGTCATCTGTATGCAGAGGAAGAAAGGGGGGATATGCAAGACTGGTACTGTATGCAGTCTACGACTTGAATGAAATCTGTGCGCGTGCAATTGAGCAATTTGTGGAAGCAAAGTGATAATTGAGCAATGTTTATATCAAATCACCAGAACCATTTCCTTAAAAAAATGTAACGTATCATAAAAGTTTTAAAAGTTTATCAAGCATCTCCTGCATTGAAACCTTGCTCTAAACTGTATGTTATTGCGTGAGTTGGCTGGCAGCACCAGCACCCCCGCCCATCCTCTCTTCCCTTGCCGCCCGTGCTGCAGTGGGGGGGAGGGGGAAGTGGTGTGGGGGTGGCGGGTATGACCAGAGCCGCCCCTCCTCTCTCCTCTCCTCCAGCCGCCTCTCTTCACCTTTCCTCCTCCTATCTCCTCTCCTCCAGCCGCATCTCCTCCTCCTCTCCTCTCCTCCAGCCGCACCTCCTCCCTCTACCTTCCGTGGCACCATCTCCTCCTCCTATCTCCTCTCCTCCATCCGCCTCTCCTCCGCTCTACTCCTGTGCACCACCAGCAGCTTCCTCCTCCTCACCAACAGTTGTGTTTGTTCGTAGATGGCGAGCGACCAGCATCCTTCGCCCTCCGGCTATCCCAGCCCTCCTCCGCGCTCTCCGCGCCCTCCTCCGTTCTGGCGTTCACAGGTGCTGCCGGTCAGCAACCGCTGTTTCTGTGCATATCCCAGCTACAAGCAACTGCTCTCCAGGCGACCTGGTGCCAGACACCACTAGCTGTAGCCATAGGCAGTTACGGGGGTGTGTTAATTGATATTGCATATCTTATACCTGCCTATAGCTTGCTAGTGTATTAGTTTAGTTATTAGCATCAACTGCTGGTGGAGTACCCTTATCTTCTCTCTTCCTTCTCCTATATCTTGTACTCTTGCCTATTGAGAAAGCTTGCTTTCTTTCTTATCAATTGGCATCGTTCTCATTACAAATGGCGTATTACAACATTTGCATCATCGTTCGACATAAGCTAGTGCGGACTAATAACACTAGCTATTATGTACCCTATCCAAGTGGCATTAGCAAGGCGGTTTACACTGGGGTGGGTGGTGGGAATGTTGAGTGAGCCGTTTGAAAATTGAGAAACGTGGGTGGAGGGAAATGAGCTCCAACCCACGGTTTTTGTAGTTGGAGAAGGGCGTTTAGCGCGCTTCGACGATGCAAATTGTGCAGTACAAGCAGCTTCGCTTTCACAATACACAATTAAAAAAAACACTACATGTGTGTTTAAAAATTATAATATTGAGAAAGCTTGCTTTCTTTCTTATCAATTGGCATCGTTCTCATTACAAATGGGGTCTCTGAGACATGGGCAGCGGGGGCCTCCGGTTGCGTACGAGTGCCTCTGTGTGTTGCGCCGATGACACCGCATGCGTCGAATCTTGTAGGGTACGGGAGGCTTCGATGAGGGGCTCGACGTATGGCGTAACATACATTTCCTTTGCTGTGTCGCTTCGCCATTTGCCCAGCCGTTTGAAGACTCTGTCTGGCACTCCCGTGTTGGCTGCTACTGTGGCTGCACCTTTTCGGAAAGAATGGGTGCCTAGCTGCAACTCTCCAAGGCCAACCTTTGCGAAGGCTTCCTTGCACCAGTTCCGGATCGTAGTGTATGAAGGTGGCCTAGCCTGGCCCTCTCTGGTTGAACCGTGACCGAAGACACGA